TGATGAAAACACCATAAATCTCTGCTTGGAAAAAAAATTATGGTATAGGGATAGATTTTAAGTTTCTAAGTGTCCTCAGATGTCTGAGGGAAACTTTCTTCCAGCCCCCTCACCCCATAGGAAAGAGCGCTGTCTTCTCTACTCCTTCCACCAAATACTGTTTCATTTCTTAGTCGTGACATGCAGCAAGATTTCTGGGAAACCAGAGTCAGTTGAAACAGGTTCTATGCTCAGTTAATCACTTATACAATGTTAGTATTAACTCTTGGAGAACAGGGTAGAAACCTGTTTTAGGCCTGAACCTGATTTCCCAGAAATCACTTAGTGTGGCTTATATGCATTTATTTTTAAAGATCATGGATTTTCTTAAAATTGTTTTTTTCTGATATTGGTTTGCTTGCTTCCCTTTCATTCCCCTTTGCCTTCCCTCCCCTCCTTCTTTCTTTTCTTTTCCTTGCCTCCTTTTTTTGTTTGTTTCTGAGATAGGGTTTTCCAGGATGGACTCAAACTCAGTCATTCCTTTTCCCCTTGCCCTCCCCTTTTTCTTCCTTTTCTTCTTCCTTTCTGTTTTTTCTTTCTTTCTCTGTCTCTGCCTCAATTTCTCTCACTTTAGCCAGTGTTTCTCTTTGTAGCTTGTGAGTTTGAGTCTATCCAACTCTATGGCATCATCACAGAAAATAAGGATGATTAGGTCAGAATTGTATATAAATTTTATTTAGCAAGGAAGGAAAACAATGCGTGTCTCTAATATACTGGAGATGTGGACATATGAAAAGTGGATGCCAAGTGTAGGGCATATTCATAAGGCTTAAGTGAGTCAAAGCAAGTTTGCAACTTTTAACTTTCTTCCAAATAAGCACGTGGTACTACCTAAATCATCTGTTATAAAACTTTGATGCTGTCATCTAAGCATGAAGATAGTGAATTTGATGTGAACTTCTTAATTAAATGGTCTCTGACACATGGGTAAGACTTTTATTGGTACTCGTTGACTAAATGGCAAGCACTAAGTGTTAGAGCATGGCTAGAAAAACTGTGTTGTATATTCTTACTTTGGAAAAGGAAATGTGTGCTTTGTAATTTTGCAGTCTTAACAACTCTCCTCTAATTATAGCTTATGCTTTGGAAAATAAAATTTTGAGATTTCCAAACACCAAGTCTCCTCAGTTGACAAGTTGATATAGGGGGTATTGTTGGTGCATCTGCCCAGTTAGAAGATGTGTTTTCCCTTGACAGCCATGTCTTAGAGCTGTGCTCACTGCCAACTCCACTGAATCATCTCCCCCTCCCTTCCCCTTGAACAAATGCACTGGCAGTCTTGGAGGAGAGCCTGAGAGCAAGGCCATGTCTGATGCAGATGCGACTGACACAGATGCTGTTAAGACCTTGAAACTCCTCAGTCAGATTAACAGTGCTCCCCACCCCACCTCCAGCTCACATTGCTTTCATCTGCCCCCCACTCCCTCTGACTTCAGTCTTCACTCTTTCTTCTTGATATTTAAAGAGACTGTACTTGTAAGCGGGTGCACCATTTCCCCTTCAGCCACCCTGAAGGAGATTTGGTCGCCCTTCCCAGGCTTCAGTCCCAAATAAAGCCTGTTGGTCTGTTGAAAAAACTAAAGAAGAACAGGTTTGTTTAGAGCAGAAAAGCCTGTTATTAGGGGGTATTCTTGAACGAGAGAATAACTTGTTCAAGGGTGAGCTTTACCAGATGTTTTTCTTGTTTACCCAGAATGTGTTCTAGGCAAATGATGAGTGTAAAGTTAAAGCATGGCTAGTTGCTGTAGCCTAACTGCTGGTTGTGCTGGTGGTGTGGGGCTGGGGAGTTGACAGACTTCAAGTTACCAAGTAAAACCATGTTTATTCTTAGATCTGGCTCTTAGTCATGGAATTTTTCCACGACCTGTAAAAATTGCTTTTGTTTTCAATGTCTGTAATTTACATCGTCAAAGTATCTAATTTAGCACCATCACTCCTGCCTCAGCCTCCCTCTGGTGGTGTGATTGCAGCCTATTAACTTGTACCATCACCCCCTCCTCCCCAAACGGATTTTTCTACAGAAAGGGTTGCTTTTTTCTTCCCCTTTTGAGTTATGAAAGCTCTCTTTTTCCAACATTAAACTGTTAAAAAAATGACACGATTATTGAGAGAAGGGGTTCTCATTCTTGCTTGCACATGAGAATTACATGGATTTTAAACAGTGTTGCCTAGCACAGCCTGAGGTTTGAAAATGTCTCAAATATTCCTAATGAGAAACCAAGAGAAAACCAGAGTTGGAAGTTGAGAAACAGAGTTGGAAGCTGGTGCTAATAAAATTATAGTTCTGCTGTTAATACATGAATACTTAAGAGGACTTTATACTCTTTTTAAATTAAGCATCATACAACTAATGGTGGCTTCTGGATTTTAAACAGAAGTGTGACACTAGTTTGTTATTAATTAATAATTAATATTGTTATTATTACTAGTTGAATATTAATTATTACAATTCAAGGGAGGGAGTTGTACTGTGGCAAAATGGTCTTCCATCCCCTGCTCTTGCAGGGGCTTTTGTCATCAGTGGCTTCTAAAACTACCAGGTGAAAGGTTGTAGGATGCTAATTTTTTTATTCATATATTGCAAAGTCCCCTACAATTGATTTGCCCATTGAAAAAGGAAAATTACCTTTCCAGCAGAGGTATGTTAGTCACTGTGATTAAACAGCATCACTAACAATTAAAGGCCTTTTTATGTCTAAAATTGGAGATCAAAAACCGTTTCAGTGCTAACATTGATTTTTTTATCACAAAAATCACTTTGTAGATGTTCAGCCTTCTCTGTTAGCTATTTTCTTTTTCTGTATGTTATAATAGCTAAAGAAAGGGAAATCAAAATTGATGTCTTCTAATAGATCTGTTGACAAACTCAGCCAGGACAGTTTAAAAGAAGGAACAGTTTTGAAGTTTTTGACACTCTATGTGAAATACTTTACATTTAGAAAAAATCACTTACAATCATTTGAATAATTCAATAATTTTGTAACAAAAAAATCAACCTGATATTTAACAATCCTAATGGAATCCTGTCAACTGATTTTAAATGTGATTGAGATTTAGAGATGATGCAAACAGTTGTAAAATGCATTATTGAATTGTTTTACTGCTAATAATAGCTCATTTATTTCCTGCAAATTTTGCACTGTTTCTTCGGCTTGTGAATCAAATGTCTCTAAGGCAATAAATTTCCCAAGTCCCAGTGACCCAAAGAAAAGCCTTTCAAAAGAAGCATAACTTAATATATGGCACTAAAGTCAGACAGGAAAGAAACCTGTTTACTTGTGTCTCATCTAGTATTCCTCAAAATATCCAAAGAACCCTTTTATTTCCTTGTTACAATTCCTAGGAAAACTTTGAGGACATACTGCTTTAAAGAAAACAGTTGGCCTCAAACAACACTGGTGTTTGAACATCAAGGACCTATCATATTAGTCATCTTTCTTTTTTTTTTTTTTGTTCGTGCCAGGCCTGGGGCTTGAACTCAGGGCACTGTCCCTGAACTTCTTTGTTCAAGGCTAGCACTCTACCACTTGGGCCACAGCTACACTTCTATTTTGTTGTTGTTGTTGTTACTTTATTGGAAACAGAGTCTCACAGACTTTCCTGCTTGGGCTAACCTCAAACCATGATCCTTAAATGTCAGCCTCCTGAGTAGGATTATGGGCATGAGCCAACAGTGCCCTGCACATCTTTTTCTTTTTGGGGGAGTCAGTGGTAGTTCCAGCACCTATTTGAAAAAAGCTAATCAACACAAAGTAGCTGCCAACTGCCAACATTCTTTCTTCAGCAGATTTGTTTAATGTCATTGTTCTCTACTTTAACTGGTTTTGATTATAAAGATATCAAGACTAATGGCTCACCCTTCTGCACAGAAATAAATTTGCCTATATTCATACAAACAACCACAGCGAAAGGATAAACCACATAATACATTAATTCTGTTGCTACTTACCTGACTTCCAAATATATTTTTTCTTCAGTTCCTCAAAATTATTAGGGAGCTGGGTGCCACTGGCTCATGCCTGTAATCCTAGCTACTCAGGAGGCTGAGATCTGGGTCATGGTTCAAAGCCAGTCGGGGCAGGAAAGTCCATGACACTCATTTCCAATTAACCACAAAAGGCCAGAAGTGGAGCTGTGGCTTGAGCAGTAGAGCCCCAATCTTAAGCACAAAAGCTCAGGGCACCACCCAGCTTCTGGACTGGCAAAAAATAAACTAGGGATCACTGAACACTAAGAGTCATGTAATATGACTTTCCTACCATTGACTGAACAAATAAGCAAAAGCAGAAAGAAATGTTCCCCTGGCATGTGTAATGACGTTTTGCATTAGTGCTATGCAGTTAGGTTAAAGGAAGCTTAGAGTGAATTTACCATGGAATGTGCGGGGCGTCATGATTATGATGGTGGAAGATGCAGGAGTCCTTTCATCTGCCTCAGGTGACTTCAGTTTCGTGACTGGCACTGGTCTGAACTCAAGTATTAAAGACACATTATATCTGTGTCTAAGAGTCTTAAAATACATTTAGTCATATAAAAAATTTCTCTTTGTCTGGATGCTGGTGGCTCATGCCTGTAATCTTACTGAGGAGGCTGGAATCGTGGTTCAAAGCCAGCCCAGGCAGGAAAGTCCGTGAGACCCTTATCTCCAATTAAACATCAGAAAACCGGAAGTGGCGCTATGGCTCAAGTGGTAGAGCGCTGGCCTTGAGCTGAAGAACTCAGGGACAATGCCCAAGCCCAGAGTTCAAACCCCACAACTGACAAAAAAAATTCTCTTGGGCTGGGAATGTGGCTTAGTGGTAGAGGTTCAATTCCTCAGTACCATATAAACAGAAGAGGCAGGAAGAGGTGCTGTAGCTCAAGTGGTAGAGTGTTAGCCTTGAGGAAAAGCATCTCAGGGACAGTGCGCAGGCCCTAAGTTCAAGCCTCAGGACTGGCAAAAAAAAAAAAAATTTAAACAGTTTTATTTTAGCAGCTCAGTTTTATTACATTCTACATGTCTTTTAACATATTTATATTTCTGCCCCTGCATAGGTGGCATACTCGTAGTTGGCCTTTTCATTTGATATTTGCTGCTACTTGGCCTGAAGAAAGTCGGAAGTTTAAATAAAATGTGCTTGGTGGAAACAGAGCAGCATTTCTTTTCCAGCAGAACTTTACTTCGATCCAGACTTCAGTGTCAAGTTTTCTTCTTCTTTCTCAAATCCTGAACAGACCAGAGATCTTCCCTTCGGGTATCGAGCACAACACTTACGTAGTTCTTGGATGACAGTCTGACACTTCAATTCATTGTAGTTGTTGGCTGGAAAAATAGGCACATTCTAGTCATGATCTCACAGGACTAAGAAGACTCAAGGAGGTTTAGATAAAGCCTTTCTCACCCCTTTTGACTTCCAGTAGTTATGTAATTGGAAGAGAGGAGATACACTCAAGTCCACTGAACTCTTTCTCAGGAGGCCAGTTGGAAAGAAAAGTATGACTTACAAAGTAGTTGGAAGCTATGTTAAAATAGATTTCCCTTTTCCTTTAAGGTAGCATGCCCTTTTCCAGCATGCCCTTTGTGATTTTTGTAATGAAAAAAAAAGACACATAGCCCCATTATTTATCTACAGTTTAAGCTGATGGTTGGACTTTTCCTATCAAGTCTAAGTCTGTCTATCAGGATATGGCAAACCACTTGAGGGTCAAATTTAGACCCCCCATTTTTACATTGGAGGTAAAAATGGCTTTTAGATTTTGAACAGGTTATAAATACACACACAGGGAAAGAAGCCTGAAACTTCACTAATTAACCAGCAAAAAGCAGGTAATAGAAGCTCAACTGGTACATTTTTGGCTTGAGTGAAAAAAAAAACAAGCAAGAGTGAGAGGTCCTGAGTTCAAGCCCCAGTACAAGCCCAAACAGCAACACCAAAAAAATCTGCAATTCGATTTTACCTCAGTCAGCAATAAGTTGCTGATAAGAGAATAAGTGGTCTCTTATAGTTCCCACAGTCAAAAAATATTTAAAAACATTTTACATACTACCTTGTAAACATTTCTGTATTTCACAGGCTTGTTTCTGGCATGGATCCTTTGGCAGCATATTCAGAAAACTAAAACAAGAAAAATAATTTAAATTTTGGTTCTCTCTTTAACCAGAAAGACTTTAAAACTTCTGTACATGGAATTTTCTTCTGGGACAAGTAGTAGGCCCTTATAATTGCTGGAAAGCATTTACACTGAAAGTACTCTTCTCATTCATGGATGAGTTAACTATATTTTAATAATATTTATTAATTTTGGAAAATATAAATGGCTTGACATAAAAATTAAAGCTCATTTTGAATATCATATCAATCTTGCATTGACACTAGAGCTTGGCAGTCCTGGCCCACTGCCCAGCTCTATGATTCACAGAAGAAACTCTTGACAAAGGGTTAAACTCAAGCATTTTTCTTCACTGCTTATGTGGATGGGAATCATACCTACCTCAAAGCATTGATGGAAGGACTAAATGTGACAAAGTATATAAAATACACAGGATAGTGCCTGGACTATATGGTAGCCTATTATTCCCAAGTATTACTTTTTTCTTCCTCATTTTTTGTTAAGCGTGATGTTGTTATGCTGTCCAGGCTGTCCTTGAACTCCTGGGCTGAAGCGATCCTCCTGTGTCTGCCTCCCCAGTAGATGGGACTATAGATGTGTACCACTTCTTCTGGCCAAGACTTGTTTTAAAAAGTAAAAACTCAATGTATATAAACTGTATGACTATTTTAGCTCAGGAAATTCCTTACAGGCAGTACATACTTCCCTAGAAATCAGCAATATTTGGTGCTATTACTTCCTGAGCAAAGTGTCAGTTAAGTAGCTAAACGTGATTTCTTTGAGAGCCCTTATGAAAACCAGCTTATTTAAAATATCTATAACAAGAAAAGGAATTTAAAAAATGCCCCTAGACTTGATCAGCAACTTTTTTCACAATTTGAAAACACAATTTCAGAAAGAAAAGCCTAGAAGCATTTGTAGCTAATCAGTGCAAATAACATCCCTCCTCCAGAATCTAAATTAGGTAGTACTAGGGTGGGAAATACTAGAACAAAACTTAAGATATTTACAGGATAGAAGGAAAGGCAGGTGAATGTGCTGCAGGGCAAATAAGTGACAAATGGATGTTGATGCTGCTAGGAGCTGCTCTTTTCCCTCTAAATCAGTACCAAGTCCTTGGTGATCAGGGCATCTGTTCGGTAGCACAAGCTGATTTTGTGGGATTCATGAGATCCCGGTTCCAGCCGATGATGTCCATTAAAGGTTCTATGGCAATTTCCAAAGAAGTCAATTTCAAGTTACGTGTGATCGCTACGTGCTTTGATTTGCTTTCTGCCTGAGTTACCCCCTCTCTGCAGTGTCATTTGCAGTATTCTTCATGACCCTTCCTAAACTTCTGTGTCCTTGAGCAGTTTTTCAACCCGCTCCCTCCCCCAGGCCCAAGAGTGGGTGCACTGCAGTGGTGGATGAAGTGATTGCCATTTAATGAATTGAACAGAGGAGCATATCTTCCTAGAATCACAGCACCTGGAAAAAAAAATCATTAAAATCACCATAACTGAATAGAGTGAAAATGAGGAAGGAGAGGAAGGCAGAGAAATAGAAATACTCACCAGGTTAATCATCAGGCAAAAGCTTAAGCAACAGTTCCTGTACTCCCCTGACCTGTCAGAAAAAGAAAAATTGTATAGAGTAATCTATTATAGGAGTCCCAATACAATGGAAAATGATTAAGCAACATGTGTACCATTAAATGATGCTGTATTTGCCACAAGCGAGAGTTGTTATCCATGTAGCGCTCCTCTGGGTAGAGTTGCCACATGAGAGGTAGTTGGGAGGTAACAAGATGACTTGGCCTAGCTGGGTCACCTAAAGGAACCTGAACTTGCTGGACTCGTGCCCTTAGGAAACTCGTCTCCTAATGGGAATGATCAAAAACAAAACCATAGACTTCAGGATATTGAGACTAGATAGAAATCAAGTTATTTGAATGCAAAATCAAATAAGCAAAATGAGCAGTTACCTCTTCCACGACAGCCACCCATGTGCGCTGGTATTCGTCTCGGTAGATACCCTCTTGGTGAACCCAGAGATGATCGGGTGGAGCCCCCACATCCTCTCTTGCCATTCTGGGCTTTGGGTTCCAATTCTATCCCTGCTTTTCTCCACCTAAGCCTGCAGCACCCGTGCACAGGACACAGGTGTGACTTTTGGGTTGGAATAAACTCACCAATGAGCAAGGTGATTGGTGATTAGCAACCACCTATCAGAACCAAACAAACCTGTTTGAACAGCCTAACTAGAACTAGTGCCATCTGAAGCTTTCTGAAAGACTGAAAGTGACACTGAAGTGACACTTGGGCAAAGCCTTCTAAGTGGGTGCTGTGTTAATGTAGTTTGCGTGACAGGAGGCTGGGCCCTGTTCTCATCCTCTGCATTCTCAAAATAGTGCCTGGCAAAATGTAGTTAGTAATAGGTAAAATGCACAATAGGATGCCTAAGGACAAATGTGGTTTTGGCGGAAAGGCAATAAAATAAGCACATGCATACCATACTCCCTAGGTAAAAACCACTTCTAAGCAGCTTCCATTAAAAAAATGGCAAGATTCTCAATGATGAGTATGTTTGTTTCAATTCAATATGCTACAGGAGCTAGAGAGGCATAAGTTAAGTTTTTATTCCCCATGCTAGAAGTCCACAGAATCACTTTTGTACTCTGAGAAGTAGAGAGGAAGCACACTTCCAGGAGTGGATGGTAAGGCCAACTCTAGCCCTAGATCTCATTTGAGGACCTTGTCATTATTTTGGGTGTGCCAGTGTTGGGGAATTAATTCAGGGCCTTGCACATTTTTGCTCAAGGCTGGTGGTCTACCACTTAAGCCATGCCTCCACTTTCTGTATGTGTTTCTTATGACTCAGTTTCATAGCTTCATGGTACAGTTTGTATATCCACCTCTCACATAGCAGAGATATGACGCTAGGGCATCTGTCCCAGGACACAAGGCCCCCTATTCCCATGAAGTAGCCATTATGTAGGAAATAAAATGTAGCACAGCTTGGGAGGTGGTTAGCACATCCAAAGTGAGATTATCCAGAACAAACCAGATGCTACAACATATGATACATTAGATGAAAAAAATAATGTATCAGGAGCTGGGAAGGTGGCTCAGTGGTAGAGTGCTTGCCTTGCATGCCTGAGGCCCTCAGTTCGGTTCCTCAGCACCACATAAGCAGAAAAAGCCGGAAGTGGGGCTTGAGGCTCAAGTGGTAGAGTGCTAGTCTACAGCTGAAGAGCTGACGGACAGCGCCCAGGCCCAGAGTTCAGGCCTCACGACTGACAAAAGAAAAAAAAATGTATCAACCTACACTAATGATTAATTCTTTTTCAAGTATAACATTCTGAATCTGGCTTTTGTTTTTTTTAACAGTTTGACTTCTCTAAAAGGAAAGTACAAAAGGACTTTTATGGACTTATGAAATGGTTTGTCTTTGTGAATAATTTTTACAGCATCATAGTTGCTTTACCCATTATGACCTGAGAGGATCTCACTCTGAGCTTGCATACATTTCTATTTTCACATGGATATACTCTGTTATTTCAAATTAATCTAAGACGAAATCTTTTCTCCTTAGCCAAACCTCAATTTCTTTCAATGATAACACCACCTCTCATGCAGAATGAAAACTAGTTTTCTTAGAGGTCTTCATTAATTGCTACCTACATCTTATCCGGCACCAATTGTAGCAAGTACCACCACTATCATTGGTATCCAAACTAAACTTTCCACTACATACCAGGTTTATCTCAAGATCCATATCTTTTCCTTTCTACTTTTCTAAAATTCATAACTCTCTAGTTGTATTTTTCCAAGCACTTTCTCATTAGCAGATAAAACTGTTCTGTCTCTTCTCTCCAGAGCTTTGGAAAGAAGAGACAAACAGAACCTCAGCAAATGCTAATACTGAAATAAAATATAATAAAGCCTTGATTTTTTTTAGCACAAAAGACAACGGTTGTGGACCAATTTTTTAAAAGTAGAAACCAATGTTAAAGATTCAGAACCACATGAACTTCATTGATATATCTTTGTAACAACCAACATGTTGACATTAATATTTCTTCTAAATGAAAAGAAAACCTTACTCATTATCCCAACATTGAAAGGAAAAATATCCAATAGAACACAGGGCAGGTGATGTTCTGAATCACTGAGTTACTACAAAGTGAGCCTATGACTCAGTACAAAATATCCTTAGAAGAAAGGCAGCATAATGTGCTTCTGTGACCCTAAAAAGGTTAACATGCTGTATAATCCAGATGAGCCTGGGAACAACCCTTAGCACATCTGTGTAGACCTGCATGTGCTACCATTCAGAGAACATCAAGGCCCAGAAACAGGCAACTGCAGTGATGAAGGGACAGAGAAGTCATTACATGAGCATGACCCATAAACATCCTCCTCTGTGGAGAAATGCAAATGCTGAGATCAAAGCCTATAAAAAACAAAACCACAGATGAAATGAATGGAGCACCATTCATATGTGCTATGTGATTCTTATAACAATTGCTCCCAACACTTTTTTGGGGGATTAAATAAGTTTGGGAGTTATAAAACACATCAGAATAGTAGAAGGTCCAGGAAATTATGCAGTAAAGAAACTTTGTATTGTTTAACATTTCCCAAGTTTATTTGACTAGAGATCATTTTTGTACATAACACTTGTTCACAAAATTCAGAACTTTGAACAAGAATGGATCTCTTAAAAATCTCAAGATAAACTTAGGTACAAGGTACATACAACTAAGTAATTAAACCCAAGGAATAGTACTAGTTGCAAATGCAAATGGCTTCCAAAGTATGTTTAGGTAACTTTACATCATCCACTAAAAGAGACTGTCCCCAAGGTGTCACTTTGACACTAGAGGCAATTTTGTCCTCAACACAGTACTCTTTGGCATTGTGTAAACTAGATTCTAAATGGATGACATGAAACATAGAAAGGCTTCTGTAGTAATTTATATAAAATGATCGTTTTCCTTTATAGAATGAATTTTGTGTCTTCTTAAAAATTACAATTTATTTTGAGATGTGTGAACAGTTTTTAAACATTAGTGAGTACACTTATTTGAAGTCATCTAATGAATTTATGCAAGTACAATGGGTGAAATTACCAAGAACCCAGGCCCCCAAATTAGCCTGGCCTGTGAATGAATCCTGATTCTGCCTCTTATAAGCTTTGTGCTCTTCAGTAAGTTAATATCTTGCTACCTCAGTTTCCTGAGAACTAAAGGACATATTAATTATAATGGTACTTAGCACTTGTTATATGTTTTACATATGTACACATATGGTGCTATGAGGTTGGTACTATTGTCTCTACTTAAAGGTGAAGTAAAGGCAGACAAGTTAGATAACTTTTGTAAGATTAGACAGCTAGGATTTGCCAGGCCTAAATCCAACTAGGGCAGTTTATACATAGAAGGTATAGAAATCCTTGGTAGAGTATGTAGCACACAGTAAGCTTGCTATAAATGTTAATAAGGGGTTTTCTGCTCCACTTAAATGGTTGGAGCAGTAAAAGGTAGCCATGAACATTATCAAAGTTAGTAAATGCTATTCTGGAATATGAGGTTGACTAACTTCAACAAAGGTGTTTTTCTTTCTAAAGGTGCCTAAAAGAATTTTATAAACCCCTCTCTCTGTTCTATTCTAGCTCTCTCTGTTCGTTTCTAGCTCTCTGCTCTCTCACTGCTCTATTCTAGCTCTCTCTGCTACCTATCTCCCTCACTGTTCTTCTCTAGCTCTCCCTGCTCTCTCTGCTCTAGCTCTTTCCTCTCTCTTTCCCTTCTCTCTCTCTTTCCCAGCCACGTGGAGTGCCAACCTTGCCTGGTCCCAGCAGGTCTACTGAATAAACCTACCCCTTACCTGAATACCACGTGCATTCTGGTGCTGTTCTTACTCGGCTACCTCTTTTTAAAAACCTAACATAAATGGTGCCATGACTCGGATAAAGGGCTTAAAGTCAGGACAGCTGGGATTCCTCTCTGTTTTTTTTTTCTTCTTCTTTCTTTTTCTGTTTGTTTTTCCCTTTTTGATCTGAGGAATACCCACAGTTCTGACGGCCTTTTGCGAACCGTCCTGTCTGCTGCAGAATTTTTAGTTGTAAAGAAAGATGACTAAATAAAGTATAATTCATGGGCAAGGATGTTAATTTTGAATTCCCAGAGTTTCAGTTGTAAAGAAAGATGACTAAATAATAGTAAAAAAAAAAAAAAAGAATTTTATAAACTCAAAATACCCAGATCATCAGGAAAGATGAACAGTCCTTGCTGCCCTCATCGAAAAAAGACACAGTAGCCATGAAAAATTAACTGAAAGTAACAGATGACATAAAATCAAAAGAAAGAAGGTAAATAGATCCAATGTGATTGTATACTTTCATTTCCCCAGCTTGCATACTTATCACACTTAATTGTGGAAATGTGTGCTACGTGATCCATAAGCATTAGGTAAGAACAGGCTGCTGGTATTGTGCTACGAGATTTGGGACCCTGTTTGTGGGAAGACTTGAGTTGGAACTGATTTGGGAGAAAAGAGCAAAGCATCAACACCTTCTTTTAAGTAGCAGCTTAAGAATGTTCCCTTAAGAATATACTGCCACATCTGCCTGGTTTGCAGAACTGCACAGGGATCAGAAAAACAAATAAAAGAAACAAACGTAGATTGGTAGCAATGCAAACATTTTCTTGGCTTTAGTACTGCTCCTAAAATCCTCATGTAAATAGTAAACTGGTAAATTGGGTACTTTAACTCTTCTGACGTTGGTCGATATAACCCCAAATAAAATTCCTTTTACGTGTCATTTCACCATCAGGATAGGATCTGAGGGAACGTGTTAATATGTGGTAAGACACTTTCGAACTTGAATTAAAAAGTCCTTGAATTCCCCTTCCCTGTCTCGAGCAGATATGTCAAAAAGCCTTTGTAGAAAGCAGCGGCAGCCAGCCCAGCTGAAGAGTGATTAGCACTGTTTCTGTAAAAGGTTACTCACATGAATACAACGTTTCTTTGGCTAGTTATTCCGCCTCCAGACCAGCTAGGCTAAAACTTCCAGGTCCCCCACCCGGGCCACTCAAGCGGCGGCGGCGGCGGCGGCGTGAGCCCAGGGCCAGGGCCGGCGGAGGGACATCCGGGGTCGAGGTTGCCAGAACCGAAGTTCGGGGACTTTGGGCCGGCAACCGGAAATGGTGCTGAGAGACTTGGAGATTTACTGGCTGACTTGGAAATTAAAAAAAAAATCAATCAATCAATCAATCAATAAATCAAACAAACCCTTAACTCTTTTGGGACCGAGTTTCAAAAGAGCGTCCCTCTGGCTTGAGAGGCCGGCGTCCGCGGCGATGTCGCCGCAAAGGCTGTCCCCGAAGCGTGTAGGCCGCGCGAGCTGCGCGTCGGCGGGCCAGCAAGATGGGCGCCGGCGCTCGGGACCAGTCAGCCTAGGCGCCTGGGGCGCCGCTCACAGACCAAGTCCCCCAGAGGCCGAGGAGCGCACTCTCCCGCGGGCGTCCCCACGCCCCCGCCTAAAACCCCAACTCCGCTCGGACCCCTCCCTGTCCCAAGGCCACGCCCGCCCCAAATGGCGCGGGCGTTTCTCAGGTGCTGCCGGGCGGGCCCCGCCCCCGCGCTTGCCCAAGCTCCGCCCCCGCGGGCTCGCGGAAGCCTGGCCTGGGCGGAGCGCCGAGCGCCGAGTGCGGGGGAGGCTGCGCGGGAGCCCTGGCTGGAGTGGGCCCTAGGCGGATGTGAACTGAGCGGACCAAGATGGCGGTACAGGTGGTGCAGGCGGTACAGGCAGTTCATCTCGAGTCTGATGCTTTTCTAGTGTGTCTCAACCACGCTCTGAGCACAGAAAAGGAGGAGGTGATGGGTCTATGTATAGGGGAGGTGAGTAGGTCAGTAGGCCTGATTGGAAACCTGCTGAGCAGTCTCGGGGGCCCAGGGGCGGCGGGGAAGCCACAGGGAGCCCAGGATTAAGATCCTTGGAAGATCTGTACTTGGGTCTGTAGCTGGGCATCTTTCCTTCCGACCGAGCCGTAGCGGTCTACGTAAGCACCACGGCGGAAGAGATGCTTCTGAGGTTATCACCCCATTGCCCCGAAGTGCAAATCCGGCCAGAAAGCAGACGTGTTGAAGACATCTAGGCATTCCGAAGCCGCAGACCATGGTTAGAGCCTCTTGTCGCCAAACCAGGCCTCCCTTCGGGGAAGCGCAAGTATTGATAAAGCTTTTTAAAGCGTAGCAAAGAAAGAAGAGAGAAGGGTTTCTTAATGGACTCCAAAGTTTTCGTTGTATTGATGTTGAAAAGGGGCCAAAGAGGATGAGGAAATGAAGTTTGGCGGTTTTCAGTCAGAAGTCATTTTCTTTCACGCCAGCATATAGGAACACATCACCGAATTTTCATGTAATCTGCATCCCGGTAATCAAATAAGCACAATGTGTTAAATAATGTTTTCTGCTTTTTCCCACTCTAGTTGAATGATGACACAAGGTAAGATTATTTACTCGTCTTATGATCTCTAACTCATCGTTGACAGAAAAATTATTAAAACTTTGGTAACATTTTATACCTCTTGTATCTTATATTACCATTAAGAGTCAAACCAGATGCATATAATTACCTGAGTTTCAAAGATCCTTTCCTGGCTTGTTAACAGGATTTTCATACATGAAACTGGAAAAAAATATATAGATAAATATTTATATATGTATACATTTATATATATGCTTCTATATACAAAAATTTTTAAAAGGAACTAAGATCATAGGTGAATCTGTAAAAGCTCTTATAAATACAGTTTTGTTGGTTGAAACAAAGGTGTCATATATTATGTTTACACTTAATGATATTGCATTTTCTTGCTTTATGTATTTCATATTAGTTCTTCCTTGAAATGTCAGTGAGATACCAGTAACTTTTTTGTGGCAAACAATATACACATTCACATGCTTTCTCCCTGTTGATCTATTCCTCCGTCTAAATTGACAATGGCTTTCTCCCTCCCATCTTGGAGGACTCTACGGCAACTCCAGAGATCTCCAGTAGCTTCAGCGCTTGAGATGTAAAACTTTTTGGGTAACTTCCTTTAAACTTTTTCAAAGCATACCTTACTGTACTTCTCAAGCACGCCTCGTTTATACCCACAGGTCCAGTTGTACCTTACATTACCATTAATACATTCCTAGTAAGGTTGCCATTGTAAAATTTGTTAATCCTGTTCATTAGCTTGAGCTCCTTTTTCTATTCCAAACTCCAGTTACCCCCTCCCTTTATTTCCCCTACTCTCTCCCCAATAGGAGTGACTACAAATTTCTATGTACTGGAACTGAAACACGCACAGTTGCTGAAAAGGTATGTGTGTTTGAATTCTGCATGACAGAAATTAACACTGCGGAGAGACTTCTGTATTTTGATGACCTCAGCCAGAGTATTAATTCAGTTTTTGAATGAGTACACTGTTACTTCTAGTAAAAATCTGATGAAAAAAATCTACTCATTAGAAATGTGAACTAATTCTCTATTACTTGTAGTAGTTTATAATATTTCATCAAAATGGATAAACACATCAGAACACTTACGCTTATTTCATTACTGGGATGCTGATTACATGAAAATTAGGTCATGTGCTCCTATACACTTCCATAACAATTATTTCTGACTATAAATGGACAAACTGCATTTCCTCCTCCACCTCCTCCTCCTCTTCTTCCTCCTTGTCCTTGTCCTCATCCTCTTCCTGTCACTGCCTGTTAGCATGTGTTTCTCATCAGTGTAACCCCCTAATTCCAAATCCCAAGATAATCTCAGTAACCCCATTTCTTTATACAATCAAACTATTCATGTTATCCTAGTTGTTACTCTACTTTGGGTTTTTTTTCTTCTGTCTACAGCCATACTCCACCTTTTCTGGCATGTTCTAGTCTAGTTGTATATGAAACCAGTTAATTTTTCCTCCAATATATCACATATCTATGCTTTTTTGTTTTGTTCCAGTACTGTGGCTTGAACTCAGGGCTTTGCACTCTCAGTCAGCTTTTCCATTTGTGGCTAATGCTTTACCTCCACTTTTGGCTTTTTGCTGGTTAATTGGAGATAAGTCTCTCAGATTTATCTGCCTAGGCTGGCTCCAAACCACAGTTCTCAGATCTCAGCCTCCTAAGTAGCCTAGGTTATGTAGGTGTCAACTACTGGTGCCTGGCTCAGACCAGTGCTTTTGTAAACTAGAATAAAAACACCTTACTTCCTTTTCCCAAAGCAACTAGGCAAAACTCCACTTGACAAAAATTTCTTCACTGCACATAGCTTTTTTTCCCCTTGTATTAGTGTTCTCTACAGGAATAGAACCAAAAGAATATACATGTATATGCACCCATACATACAAACACAGACACAAACATACACATACACAATTATACAAGGGGATTTATTAAATTGACATTAGAGACTGTATAGTTCAACGGTGACCAGAGAACCTGGTAGCTGCTCAGTTTAAAGGCATAAAAGCTTCAGCACAAAGGAAAACAATGATACGGCCCTAATCCAAAGGCTTAAAGGCCTGGAAGCTTCTTGGAAAGTTGCTAGTAAGCCCATGCAGAAAGCTGGAATCTTATGTATCCATTGGTGATGGCAGAAACAATCAACACATCTGTTCAGGAAGAATGGAACTTCCATGCACTGGCTGGCTTCCTCCTCCTTACTCCTTTATTTCATCCAGGTACCCAACCTATTTCTTAAATGGTGACGTCCACAGGTTGGGCCTTTTCCTCTCAGCCTCTGCTGCACATACCAACTGTCTTTGGACATGCCTGTATAAACCCTGACATGCTCTTGAAACCTAGGTGTCTCGAAACCTAGTTGACAAAAATAACCATATTTCCTTTATGAAAAAAGGTATCTTCCTATCTAGAGGTGTAGCTTACTTATTTTGTGGATTCTTGGACCGTGTAACTTTTTCTATCACCTGTGTTTAAACTAGTCTCATTTTGACAGAAAGAAAGACTACTCAACCCTGTATTTTCCTCTAATCACTACTTCTACTTTCTTTCATAGTTAAACTCAAAGCAGTAGTCTATAATACTTACTTTACCTTTCTCAGTCAAATCCACTGAGGTCTTAATGTATGAGGATTTTTTTAACAATTTTCTTATCTTGAATTTTATATAAATTCATACTGCCTAAATTAGATGTTAAAACTCTTGAGCTGGGCGCCGGTGGCTCACGCCTGTAATCCTAGCTACTCAGGAGTCAGATCTGAGGATCAAGGTTCAAAGCCAGCCTGGACAAGGAAAGTCCGTGAGACTCTTATCTCCAATAAACCACTAGAAAACTGGAAGTGGCACTATGGCTCAAGCGGTAGAGTGCTTGCCTTGAGCTGAAGAGCTGAGGGATAGCACCTAAGCCCAGAGTTCAAGCCCCACGACCGACCAAAAAAAAAAAAAAAAAAAAGTCTTGAGTTTAGCAAACTTACCTTTGTAGGTTGTTTTGCCATGGTGTGTGTGTGTGTGTGTGTGTGATCATTTTGTTCATATTCTGTATTTTAAATATGTCTCTTATTAACAGTTTTAAAAAATCCAGTCTATTTTTTTATTGTGAGAATACTGTACAGAGGAGTTACAATTATATGGGCAAGTACCAGTCTAATTTTTTTAAATACTGGGGATTGGATCCATAGCCTCACACATGCTAGGCAAGTACTTCACCACAACTATGCCTGCCGCCTTTTGTGTTTTTATTTTTGAAACAGGGCCTGAGGCTATCTTAGCCCAGAATGATATGATTCCTTTCCCTCTGCCTCCTGAATAGCTGGGATTATGGGCATGTGCCACCCATCTAGCCATTGATAATCTCCTTAATTAGATCTTCAACTTATATTTAATATATTTAATAATTAATATATATGCATTATAAGTGTCATCATTTTGCTTTTTATTTGACTTTTTTTTTGCCAGTCCTGGGGCTTAAACTTAGGGCCTGAGTGCTATCCCCTGAGCCTCTTTTGTGCTCAAGGCTAGCACTCTGCTACTTGAGCCACAGTGCCACTTTTGGCATTTTCTGAGTAGTTTATTGGAGATAAGAGTCTCACAGACTTTCCTGCCTGGGCTGGCTTTGAATCTCCATTGTCATATCTTAACCTCCTTAAGTAACTAGGATTACAGGTGTGAGCCACTGGCACCCAGCTTAATTTTGTTTTATATTTTTTCTTGCCTTCTTTTAGATCAATTAAATAATTTATTGTACTTTGATACTGCATTTATTATAGTATTCTTTTACTCTCCTTGTAGTGGTTATTCTGCATGTTATGATATGCATTCTTGATTTGTGACACTCTAATATATCTATTTTTATCATTTCCCCAATAATACAGATATACCTTGACTACAGTTTGGTTATATACTAATAAACTCTGTAAATTGAAACTATTGTAGACCAAATATGCCCAATGCATTTAAACTATCAAATATCCTAGCTTAGTAAAACAACACACTATAGTATCAGTTTTTTCCTGCCACGATTGCCTAACTGACAGAAAGTTGTAGCTCACTGCTTCTGTCCAGCTTTGCCAAAGAACATCATAGTATATGCTGTAGCCTATGGAAGACCAAAACTCAAAGTGCAGTGTCTACTGAACATACATTGCATTGTGCACCAAGATAAAGTTGAAAAAAAATACTTAATTTTACAATCGTAGGTTGGGGGCGATTTATACTTAGAACCTTAGAACATTTTATTTTCATGTACACCCTCCAATCTTGTGGGTTGTTGGTTATGAGCCAATACATAGCACACAGTATATTTTCTGGCAGAAATAAATGTGTGTACATTACAAAGGAAGTTGTGAGAGAAAATGATTAGATTTTTATAGGATGATTAGGAAATTTAATGAGTCTACCGGATGAAAAAAAAATACTGAAAGCACCTGTTAGTAGAACTGACTGTGTAAAAATGCCATGAAATAGACCACATGGTATTAGGAATTGTAAGCAACTAAATAATGTAGGAGCTTAACATCTTTTGATTTGATAAGTAGAACTATTCATATTTGCTTGCAGTAGGTTCTAGGCCAGATATCTTTCTTACTTATGAAAAAGAAGCAGCTGTAATTAAAAGAATACTAAGCATTTGATGTGCAAAGGTGGCCTTGTTTTTTTCCTTTTTTAAAATGCTTATTTTAAAGGTGATGTACAGAGGGGTTACAGTGACATAAGTCAGGTAAAGAGTACTTTCTTTTTGAACAATGTCACCCCTTCTCTCCCAGTTTTTCCCTCCCGTCCCCATCCACAAGTTGTATAGTTTGTTTTCAACTTAGTGTCTCGTTAGTACCACTACTGCATTTGTTCTTCCTTTGTCCCTCCATTTCTGTGCCCCCCCTTACTTCCCAAAGACAGATAAACTAACAAGACAAAAAGAAAAGAAAACAAAACAGCAACAAAGAAAAAGTCTCTTGTTTCCATTTCCTGGAGATCATTTCCATAAACATTATTTTATATGATCAGAAGCACATAGGCATTGTGCCTTTGTGTTCCTCTCCTAAAAATATCCTTGCCTGTTGTGAATAGTGCAGCAATGAATATGGATGTGCATATCCTGTTCATTTGTGTATCCTACCCTGGCTCATGGTGTTCTGTGTAGATGCCCAGGAGTGATATGGCTGGGTTGTAAGGAAGGTTGATGTTTAGGTTTTTGAGAAATCTGCAGATAGCTGTCCAGAGTAGTTATACTAGTTTCCATTCCCATCAATAGTGCAGAAGGGTTCCTTTTTCCCCCACATCCCTGCCAACAATTGTTTGAATTCTTGATGTGGGCCAATCTAACTGGGATGAGATGGAATCTCAGAGTTCTGATTTGCATTTCCTTTACTGCCAGGGATGATGAGTGTTTCCTTGTGTGTTTCTTCGCCATTCTTACCTCATCTTCTGAGAAGTCTCTCCTTAGCTCCTTTTCCCATTTAATGACTGGTTTATTAGCTTAAGGAGGGATTAGTTTCTTCAACTCCTTGTGTATATTGGATATTAGGCCTTTGGTGTATTGCTGGTAAAGATCTTCTCCCAGTCTGTTAGCTGTCTTTCAGTTTAGTGACTGTTCTGTCATTACATTTGTATATCTATACAAAATTAGAAACTGAGAAGCTGAACTAATTAGACAACTTTCTTATTTTTGTTGAAAAGTTAAAGTTGCCAGGAGAATATGGAAAACAAAATCTTAGTTCTTTAGTGATATAATGTAAGCTACAAATGTGAACAATACATACTTCTTATTTTTGGCTTTGGTGTGTCTGTGTGTCTGTGTCTGTGACAGTTCTGGGACTTGAGCTCAGCTATTTTGCTCTAGGCTGGTGCTCTACTGCTTGAGCCACAACTCCAGGATTTTTGGTGGTTAGTTGGAGATAAGAGTCTCAAAGACTTTGCTGCTGGGGCTGTCTTTGAATTTCAGTCTTCAAATCTCAGCCTCTTGAGTAGCTAGGTTTACAGTCATGAACCACCAGTGCTTGGCTTTGCTGGTTATTTTAAAGATGAAGTCTACCAGACTTTCTGCCCAGGGTTGCCTCAAACTTTGATCCTCTGGATCTCAGCCTCTTGAATAATAGACCAGTGTTTTAGTGTAGCTTCATGTGTGATGTTTGCCCCTTACCCATGTCATTAGCATTTTAAACATGTCAGCACTCTTATTTATGTTTCTTTTTGTATTTTGCCCATAGTTAATCAAATAATTTCTTCCTAGCCATTCAAAAAGTACTTCTTTGAACTAAATGTTAACATTTATATATTTTTGAAATATATACATATAATATAGTATGTATAGAGAAGTTGGGTGGCTTTCATTTGAAATACTTTGTTATTCATGACAAAAATATCAGTTTTCTAAAATGTGTTCTTTAACCTGATACTGTAATAAAATACAATCTTATAATTAATAGGAAATTGGAGAGACAAGTGTTTTTAGCTAGAAACAGGAGTAACCATTTTTATGGATTTTCTTTTAGGTTGACACCGTCCGAATTGTACATATTCATTCTGTCATCATCTTACGACGTTCTGATAAGAGGAAGGATCGAGTAGAAATTTCTCCAGAGCAGCTGTCTGCAGCCTCAACAGAGGCGGAGATATCCTTGTCAATCAACATGTGCTCTGGGGCTTGTGGGCTGCATTGATCTTATTACTGTAGTCACTCTGCTTTACATGGCCACTCTCTTTACACTGACTTGACAGTCACTCTTTCACATATTTTCTTTTCAGATGCTTCTTTCCTAATTTTCATATTTACCCTTTAGATCCAGTACTTTGGTTAATCAGAGTTTCTCATCCTCTTTCCCAGTGGATTTTTCAGGAAAATCAGTAACTTTTGACACTTGTGCCCTTAAACACTAAGAGGTTCTCATGTGGGGGATGAAGAAGAGCTGGACTGAACGTTCGTGGGGAGGGCTGAGCCCTGTAGGCAAAGAGCATGTAGACAACGTCTGGGAAGAGTTTGCATCCTTGAAAGTTAGCAAATGAAATACTGTGTAAACATGTACTGAATAAGGAGGCAGAAGAGGTATAAGAAACAGAGCCCTTTGATGTCACCATGAGTCTGCTGAGTCTGTGCTACCTCAGTAGACTGCTTCCTGTAAGAGTGCCTGGCCTCACGTCGCCCTGCTTGAGAGCCCACTACAGTTCCACAGTCAAAGTTCCAGGGCCAAATACTGTGAAATGAGCTCTGTGAAGAGTTCCATTAACCTTACTCTGTATTCCTTGTTCCTCCCCTCACCATTCTTTTCTGTTCCTACTTCCAGTTTTCCTAATTCTAGGCCATTCACTATCTTGGTCTCTGTCTATTGAAGGGATTGGGCTTTGAGACTTACTCTCAAAACTATACTGGTGAGAACTGAATACGCTATTCTGTAGTAAATATAACTGAAGAATTGTTGACATGCTTCCACTAATCAGAACTTCATACCTCATCCAATGCAAGTTAAATTGCACCAGTGCTTTTAGTTAATCTTTTGTACTTTTAAAAGTTTATACTGTTCTTATTTACTGCCTATTTCTAAAAATTACTTTTTAGGAATCTATAGGTCCATTTGATCATAAATTCCTACTATTGAATTTAACATTTGGTTGTTGACAGTTCATTGTTACAAAGCAATAACACAGCTAGATACTAATGGTTTATATCTGTAATCCCAGCTACTCAGGATACTGAGATCTCAGAATCTAAGGATCACAGTTCAAAGCCAGCCTGGGAAGTAAGGCCCATGAGACTATTTTATCTCTATAATCAAGCACCAAAAAAAATCCTGGGGGCTGGAAAGTTGGCTCAGTGGTAGATTGCTTGCCTCGCATGCATGAGGCCCTGGGTTTTATTCCTCAGCACCACATAAGCAGAAAAAAAGCTGGAAGTGGCGCTGTGGCTCAAGTGGTAGAGTGCTAGCCTTGAGCTGAAGAGCTGATGGACTGTGCCCAGACCCAGAGTTCAGCTCCCATGACTGACAAGCTGTGGCTCAGGTGGTAGAGTGCTAGCATTTAGCAGAAAAGCTCAGGGACAGTGCTCAGGCCCTGAGTTCAAGCCCTAGGACCAACACACACGCACGCACGCACGCACGCACGCACGCCCTGAGGTCAAGCCCTAGGACCAGCACATACACATGCATGCGTGGAAAGCAGTAGCGTATGTACTATATAATGACATCTGTTATTTTTTCATCATCAGAACATAAGTTTCCAATCAGATGTAGAAATGCAGAATTAACATTTTCATTTTTCGGAGTCCTAGATTTTAGAATTTATAAGCTGAATTCTTCATACATATTTAGAGTATTTCTTCTCATTCAGATCTGTTAAATACTTTCTCTAAGAAAATTTGGACTTTATAGTCTTTCCTTTGAAATGAAGAAAGATGGAATCTTTTGGCTTATGTATACATTCTTTTTAATAGTTACTATAAATATAATTTATTGATTATATATCCATAATATATGAAGTATACATTTTGTATCTTGTTTTATTTAAAAAACCTTTTACTTTGAGATATTTGTAACAGAAAAGTCTCTAGCCTTAACCCAGTTTTGGCTGAAGTTTGCCTGTTATATAATTATGGTAACAATTAGGAAAGTAGGCAGTTGACACAGATAGGGTGTATGTAGTTGTGTGCTATTTTGTCAAGTGTACATATATGAACTTCCCTAACATTGAAGATACAAGATTGTTCCATTACTGAAAACTCACCTTTCCACTTCCTTTCCCTAGTCATTATTTACTTCTTCCCCACCACTTTACCGCTTGGCAACCACTAATCTGTTCATCTCCTTTAAAAGTTTGGATTTCACTGCTGCATTGTATCCCTGGCAGATTTTTTTTTTAATTTTAGCCCCTAGGTATTTCTGTATTCTGAGTTGGATCCAAGAGCTGTGTTCTGGGAAGCTGTTGAGTTAGTTGGAAACATGGTCCATGCTTTTGAGTTTGACTTTTGAGGATGAGCAGTATGGACCAGAGCAGCTGGTAATGTAGATTTTCCACACTACTAAGACAACAGTCTTCTGAGCAGTAGTAAAATTCCCCATTTTGTGAGATTGTCTTTCCTGGCTGGCAGACTGTTGCAGTTACCTACCATCCTCTTGAAGTCTCTAGCCCAGGCCTTAGGTAGTTCTCTCACATGATTCTGCTCATCAGTAGTCTGCTGATGAGTAGTCTCCAGTGGGAACTATTGGGAATGTCCAAGGTTTGCCTCAACCTTTGCAACTGTCCTCTCTGGTCTTGGGCCTCAAAACCAGCAAATCTGGACTCAGTAACCTTTCTGAACTGTTGAGGTGGTCTGGCTGGCTCTGTTTCAGTTTCCCTTCCCTGCTCATGTGTGGGCTGGATGTCCTCTCCAGATTTATTTCCCACCTATTGGCTTTCTTTGAATGATGACTGTTGTTTTGAAGATTGTTGCTTGGTATATATTGTTCAGTTTCTTTGTTTTTGGTCTTGACCAGAAACAGAAAGCCCATTCATTGGTATTTCATTGTGATAATTTCATCGATACAGTGCACTTTGAATAAGTACACTCCCTCTTTTGTATTCTTTCCTGTATATATATATATATATACACACACACACACACACATATGTAATGTTACCCCATTCGTTTTCCCTGTACTTTTCTCTTCCTCCTCCCTCTGACTGATTCCCATCATCACTGTCATTTAGATCTAGGTTCCACATATGAGCAAAAACATGTGCTAGTCGATTTTTTTGAGCTTGAGTCATCTTGTTCAACATGATGATACCCTGTTCTATCCACTCTCCTGCAAGTGATATTTTTTTAATCCATTTATCAGCTGTTGCCCACCTAGGCTATTGCCAATAGTGTTAAGATAAATATATGTATACTAGTTGTATTTCATATGTTAATTTGCTTTCCTTCCTATATGTACCAGAAGTTGTATAGCAGTTGTGTAGCATGAGGTCATAGTTTCTAAATGACTCTCCACACTGACTTTCAGAGTGGTTACCCTAGTTTGCACTCCTACCAGGAGTTAAATTTTCTTTCCCCTACAATCTCACAGGCATTGTTGTTTTCTTGATGATTGCCATTCTGACTGAGGGGTAGGGAGTAACATTGAATCTTAACATTCTAAAGACTGTTTTGGTCTGCATTTCCTTTATGGGTAAGGATGTTAATATTTCTTCATGTATTTATTTGCCTTTTGTCTGTATAATTCTTTTCCTACTTACTAGTTGGATTAGTTATACATTTCTAATTTTTTTGAGCACTTTGTATATTCTGGAAATTACCCTTCCTCCTTAAATAGCTAGCAGAGGTTTTCTCCCATTCTTGGGTTGTCTCTTAATTCTGGTAATTGTTTTCTATTGTGTACAGAAGTTGTGTGTGTGTGTGAGTGTGTATGTATGTGTGTGTGTGCATGCACACGTGTGCACAGGTCCTAGAGCTTAACCATTTTTGCTCAAGATTAGAGCTCTACCTCTTGAGCCCCATCTGCATTTCTGGCTTTTCTTTGGTAGTTAATTGGAGATAAAAGTGTCATAGACTTACCTGCCCAGATAGGCTTTGAACCACAATTCTCAGATCTCAGCCTCCTGAGTAGCTAGGATTACAAGCATGAGCCAATAACACCCAGTGTATAGATTTTTAATTTGATTTTCTGAGAAATTACTATCCTTTCAGAAATTAATTATATTTATATCTTCTAGTATTTTCCTATAAAAGTTTCAGATTTTTTTATTTTTTTAAAAATTTACTTTATTGTTATTTTATTTATTTATTTTTGTGAACACACTGTACAGAGGGGTTACAATTACATGGGCAGGATAATGCGTACATTTCTTACCAAGCATTGCAGCCTCCTCCTTTGTTTACCCTTCACATCCCT